ACATGGAAGAATTTCTTCTCCCTAGGGGCATTGGTCAAACAGCGGTGCTATCATTACAGATTAATATACATTCATTATTGCACATTCTCATCATACCTTGTACCCATTTATACTAATGGGTAAAGAGATATAAATGTGTGTGTGAAGTGCCTTGCCCAAGGACACAGACAAGATGACCAAATGTATCAAACTCATCATCCCTAGTTCACAAAACCAATACTCTAATAAATCACATTAAATATATTCTGGCTAAATTGAGCTAAAAATAAACTTTGATTATACACTGTCTCTTATACACATCTAGATGTGTATAAGAGGCAGAATGTAAATAGCGTCAGGTGTAATTCAATTACAACTAGAGTAAAATTTAGATATTTTAATAGCGTAATGCTTTCAGTACTAGTAATAAATCAAAGAGTTATACTTTTGTCAGGTGACTCAATTTTAATCATTTGTGTATGATGACTGACCCAGAAGTTAAATCTACTTAGGACTATGTTCACACACGACAGCTAATGGCTAGCAGGATCCGGAAACTTGCTGACATTTAGCTGCTGTGCGTTCATACCAGAAATCTCGATCCGGATACCAAGAACATGATCATTGAATCACTGGCCAATAGGAAACTGGAAATTGGAAACGCGTACGTGTGATTGGTTTGATGATAGAAACGCGCGCAACTTCCTAACTGATAGCGCTCGCTAATTGTTAGCGTATCCAGATCCTGGTAACAGTTAGCGCTAACTGATTGAGCGTTCACACATGGGTGCTAACGGTCAGTGCTAACGGTTAGCTTCCAAACCGGATACTAGGGCTCTCCTGTGAACCTGACCTATGTTGAAGTGCCTTCAGTAAGCTGGTATATAATCTAGTATAACTGAGTTAAAAACCATCATTGTATTAAAACTGTTTATAGTAACATTACCTATATATTTATTATTACCTTAATGACTGCCAACAAAGTCTTTTCTTCTTGTACAAGTATTTTTCGTTTATCTGGTGTTAAATTTACATCAACATAATCTGAAATGAAAAATGTCTGAATGCATAAATCAACACAGTATTACCAAAATACACCTACACATTTTTTAAGAAATAACAATTGCATGATCAGGTTCTCTACTGAGAGTTTGGGGTTTAAAAGCTCACAGAGACAATTTGCTTGTGTATTTGGTCAAGCTACTTTAACAAAATTTGTCTCAATCCATGGATATAGTAGGACTAGACTGAATATTAATGACTACAAATGCTCAAGGCAGGAAAAAAAATAAAAGAACTGCATATCCTATGGATAATAGTTTTCTCAATCAATCTGGCAAATTATATAGCACTTTGCTGACTACTTTCTTACACTTATTACCTTTTTGTAAAGTTATGTTGAGTACTACCATTGGATATTGATGCCTGTTGTACATATGGTAAACTTCATTTACAAGCTTTGATACCTGAAAATAATACAAAAAATAGTACACTACATAATATAAAGTTATGCACCTTTATATTAGTTTGAGGACAGTGTATATTGAACTAACATGATCAGACAGCAATAAACAATTACATAAATGGTCTTGTCTATAAATCATATACAGTAAATGCATCATTTAGTTTGTTCACAAATCATGACTCCACAGTAGATAGCAGCCATTTTAATAATCTGACCTTTGGAAAATCACATGGTCTGGTATTTATGAAGTAGTATTGTCTGTCTGCACTGCTTCTACCTGACCCATGTTCACAACTTGATATATAACCTGAGATGCTGAAGTGAATGAAAAAAAGTATTAAAATATCAATGTTTATCTAATTCATTATGCCATTTGGCCTACTGTCTCATGCTGGTAATGAAATTTAAAAAAATTTATTATTATTATTCGTGAATCTTATTTATATATTTATTTAGTTTTTAAATAGATGGGGTGTAAAATTCAATAATCTAGATGTTCAAAATAAATTGGTAAGTAAATTCAAGCACTGACACCCCACTCCCTGCCCCACTATTTGGACGCAAGTCATAATCCAGAGACAAATGTATAGAAGGAAGAGAACTTTAATTTCCTAGGCTAATTGTAGATATATTATCTATATAATCAACAAATATATATATACTAGTATACTATATATATAATCAACAAATAAATAATGGACATTATATAATAAATAATAGACATTATAATGTTTACTGTATAATGTAATGTTTACATCAAAAAAGAAAAAAACACTAAATAAACACTAACCTGAATACACTTTTATCTTGTGAGCATATTTTGACACCGAATTCTTCACAACAATCTATAGAGGGCTCACTTTGTTTTAGATCTAACAAGTTTTGTAAGGCCTTTGGTCCATAGATGTTACTAATGTTGTCACGAATACAACTGTTATTGTGGGTCTGTGCTACAACACTTTTCCTCCTAAAATTTAAAACAAAAAGTATTATAACTCATTGGTCTTAGTTGAGTATCTAAATACCTGTTCAGATAATCATATTATATTTCACAAAAACATTTGACATATGTCAAAATATTGTCATGATAACATCACATCATGACCATATATAGGCACATCATCACCATATATAGGCACATCATGTCTATATATGGGCATACAACAGTTTTTTTTTTATGGTCATGATGACATCACATCATCACCATATATAGGCACATCATGACTATATATGGGCATACAACAGCTTTTTTTATGGTCATGATAACATCACATCATGATCATATATAGGCACATCATGACTATATATGGGCATACCAGAGTGTTTTGTTAAAGAAAATTTGATAGTATAGACAGCGATTAAGAAATGTAGTCTGTGCCCCTTGGGATGCCTGGTGGTGATCTGTGCAGTACACTGGAAGAAGAATGTCTGCATTATTTAACATTCACATGAGTCATGTTGTGGTGTACATGGAACCAATGGCTAAACATCTCTCCAAATTGCCATGCTATAACCTGTATTTCAAAACGAGTGCAGCTTGGTAGAAGAGTAACGTGTACAAAAATCACTTTATTATGCAGTGGCGTATCTATGCACCATGTGACTATCAATAGTTTACGATGTATTACCATGGAAAAGATTAATTAATAATTAAGTGTCAAGCAAACTGAACAATAACCAATCAGTACTGAGCCAGGAATATGCACATGTCTACTAAGGCGACTTTTGTATCTTGTTTAGTGCACCCACCGACTGCAAAGATTGATGATTTCAAATAAAAATAATATTCTATTTTTGGACAATTAGTGCACTCGCCACCATGAAAAAATGGAAATTTCAGAAAAAATACGTTTTTTAAAATTTTTAATACTCTCTCCGCTGCCTTGAAATCTCCAAAGATAAGATAGTATATTTCTTCCTAAATATATTAATTTGTAGCATTTAACCATCCTATTTTACATTCCCTAATAAAATTTTATTTTTATTTTCTCCCACATTTGGATGTTTTGGAAAAGCTCTTTGTTAAATAAGAAAACAAAATTTTATCTTTATTCCACCCTCCTCCGATGATCTTTACAAAAATAAATACGCGAAACAAGGAATAAAAAAAGTATTGACTAATTTGACACACAAATGCACGAGTTTGCGTATGTTTTAACACTGTCGATTTGTGGGACCTCAACAACATATCTTACCCTGTTCCAACTTGATTAGTACAGGTGATACGAACACCTGTTGAGATCAAACAATATGCCTGAAACAGGTGAACCATTTTACAAAATTCCTTTTTGACATTTCTCAGGAATTCTTTATGTCGTACAGGAAATGTTGAGAATATATTCTGGAGGCTTACAGTTGTTCCTGGCTGAAAAATTGGAAGAAAAAAAAAATTAAATTGCATTTTCAGCTATCAACCCTGAGGTTGTGTTCTGTTATAGTAAAATAACTTCACTGACAAAACCTCATAACGAAGGAGTTCTAAATGATCTTTACTTCCTAAACCTAATAAAAATAATTTGGTATAGAATGTCAACTGGATGGGTATTTTGAAATGGCAAAATGCATAAAAAAAACCCCAACATTCATGTTGTGGTACTTAATACTAACAATAATAAATTATTATATTTTTTAATTTGGTTCTTATTGAGACTTTTTAGGTTGTTTCTAATTTCCTTGTAAATCTTTCAACTGTGTACGATGTCTCCCTTTTGTGATGCATTTTATATTGGTAATAGTTGGTTTCATCTGAATATTTCAATACTTCTTTTGTACCATTGGTAATCAAATTTTTTACATTGTATTCTACATTTTAATATATATATCATGTTGATATCAAGATGATATCAAGATGATGTCATAATAGAAGACTGCATAACAGCATGAAGAGAGCAAATTTTTTTTTTTTCAAAACAGACTAATGATTATATTTTAGAAATACAAGCTTTCATGTACTATTGAGTAATATGGCTAACAGTTTGTCAAATGGTGTTCTCATAATTATTTATAAAACAGATAAAGACGAATATAAATCTATATTATATTTATTTTATATCTTTATTTCTAACCTGTCTAGAAATTGGAGTCTGCTTCACTAGCAATCCATCATGATCATACTCAAACTTAGTTCCTATGGCAACAGATGTGTGGCAAGTTGTGATTGTTAAGTCACTGTATGGAAAACAAAATAAAAATTAACCATTTCATACTCAACTTCAAATTAAAAAACAGAGAATGCAGATTTTGAGAAAGTTAATACTTTACTATCATTAGTATTTTTATTGCATTTATTATTATCCAGTATAAAAATCAGGGTTCACATTTTTCTGCTTTTAAACACAAATGAACAATACACCTTTTTTTTACACAACAATCTTTCACAGCACCCATACATATGCAAATATGGGGCACTATACAGCAACAAGAATACTTTAAAACACAATTTATACTGTACATGCTTCCACAAGATTAAGTATAGTTTTTTATTCAGATTCTTCGCACAATATTATACAATTATCAAAGGAGAATATTCTTAATAACGATAAAACTAATCCAGCAATATAAGGATTCTGTAAGTAATTACAATTATCATAATGGTTATTAATATATACTATTACTATTGATTATTATTGTAGTATTTTAAGATCAGTACATTAGAAGATATGGGACTTACGATAGAGCACAGAGGGAACTGAGAGCTTCACCCCTGAACCCGAACGTACTAACGCCAGCAAGATCAGAGAAGTCATTCAGTTTACTTGTATGATGTTTCAAAGCTGAAAGAATAAAACAATTTAAACAAAAAAAAATTAATGGTGATAATAAATGGAGTAGTTTTAAAAAAGAAATTTTAAATTGATGCTAAATTATTTCATATTATATAAAAATGATTCAAAACTGTATATAGTAGGACATCTCCTTTGGGACACCTGTATTACAGTAAGGGTATAAGGGGAAACCTTCAGTGGTGCAACGATGGGGCCGAGAGCCCTGTGGCTTTCTGAAACTGGGGGATCTTTTTGGCTCCCGGTCACCAATTCCATAATGGGATATTAGACGTGCTTGTTTTTTGCACTGTTATTCTAAATGTTTTTAAAGACGAACAGATGATTATATTAGTGGCGGATCAAGGTATTTGGAATACAGGTGCCAGGGAGGGACTTTTACAGTTGGAGAGTCTAGGCCTATACTACCATGTTTGGGGCTGAGGTAAGAAAATGTATGATTATGGCACCTCTAGATGGCCGGATATGGCACTCAGACTTAAAATTGTGAATATAATTTTCTTTTATCTCAATTTTACAATTTTTTTGTGACAAATTTGGTGGGGTCCTGGGCCGACAGGATCCCTCCCTTTAATCCGCCGCTGGACATAACATGATATGCCCTGCAGTCGAATTCAGAGAACACATTATGGTGTTATTTATCAACAAAGTCCTTTTTGGCCAGGGTGCTAGATCGAAGAACCTATGAGTAGGGCCTCATCGGGGGTTTCATTATATCAATGTATCTTATTCAAATTTAACTTAATATTGAATTTAATTATTCAAGTTAACACAGACAGCATGTATTATTTTTTTCAAATAAAGCGATATATATAATGTCTTTAAAAATAAGAATTTACTTAAGGCACTTACTTAAAGCTTCAAAGTTTTCTTTCTTGACCCCTGACCCATTGTCAATCACTTCAAGTAATTCTGATCCATGATTCTTCAGTCGTATTTCTGATCAACAAAAAATCAACAAAATTAAAGATGCTAATTTGCTATAATAGGTGTCACTAATTTGTCTTGCTCTCTCTCAGATTAAATAAATCAACACATCAAATTGACTGGGTGTCAAGTGGTGGATCAAGGAATTTGAAGTAGAGGGGACCCAGGGAGGGACTCTTACGCATGCAGGGTCTGCCACTTGAGGCCCACCATGGTTGGGGCTGAGATTTGAAAATTTATGATTATGGCACATCTAGATGGCTGGAAATGGCATTCTCTGACTTAATGCAAATATAATTTTCCTTTTTGGGCCATTTTGTCATAATTTTGGAAAATTTAGGGGGACCCCCCACTCTGTGCCCTTAAATCCACCACTGGTATTATTCTTAAATACAAAATCCAAAGCAAATATAATGGCTGAATTCCATGGGAGTACAATTATATATGTGGAAGTTATTAAAATAATTAGTACATAAAAATGGAAAATGATTGCATAGCTGGAGTCAATGCAACATCAAAACCATAATGAACAACAAACAAAAACCAATTTTAAAATTCAAACAAATCAATTGGGGTATTCAAAAAATTAAAATGGATGAATATATTTTTAAATTGACAATAATTGATTTTAATTGGTGATCCGCTACACTAGCGGATCACCTCTTGTTATTGTCGGGATCAACATCTTTTTTTTCTTATTCTTCTTTCTTTCTCCCCTTTTCTGTTCGCACGATATCTCAAAAAATGCCACGAGTTAACGCACAATCGCTGTCAACGACCATTTGGCTTGGTCTGGAATAGTTATGGTAAGCTTTTCAACGCGCTCAGTCATGCGTGACGTCATCTATGTGCAATTTTGCGTTTTTACATTATCGGTCATATCAGCCTAACCAATTGCCATTTCCAAATCGTATTAAGTGAGCATTAACTTCGGGTTAATGTTGAATGTACTGTACCCTAATTTTAGGCGTGCGCTTGATAATGCGCGCGCACGCGTGCGTCAAAATTTTAAAAAGCTCGAAATCACTTTTTAACTAAATAAGAGCACATTTCAGGCCATTTTGAGCATTTCAATTTTTTTTTTAATTTTCCACTACGCACGCGCATTTTGATGCGCGCAGCACGTACGGAAGCTAGACACTATGTTTTTTCACATAATTTGGGTTCCTGACATTATTTTCACAAACTTCCATTCTTTTCGGTCATCTTTTGGCCAATAGCAATACCGTACGTGCGCATCAAACATAGGTATCTTTGCGTGTATTTGTGCCGCTATACAGTGAAATTATGCTAAAATCAGGCCTATTTTTAATCAGTTA